CCTAGAGGGGGGGGGGCAATGGTGATTTTGAGAGGGGTCACAATTTTGGGAACTATAAAAAATTACCTGAATATTAGGCAGGGAACCTTCAACAAAAACTTCCCCTTAGTTTTCATTTTTGTTGCCATGCAAAGTTGCAAACCTTTCATATTCTAAGGATTTATGACTGAAGTTGTTATTAATAGATATGGAAGTTCCATGGTCAAGAACATTTGACATTATAATGCGTGTCAGAATTTATTATTCATATTGATAAGAAACCAATACTAATTAAAGGTCAATAGATTTTTGGAAGGGGGAGATAGGGAGTCGACAATTCACCATCTGTTGTTTACTATCATATTGGGGGGGGGGGCAACGAATGTGATCAACAAAAGTGGAGGGGGAGGCGTCCAGAAAATTTAAATCTAAAAACCGTCATAGCCCTCCCCCTCCTGTAAGTAAATTATAAATGCCCCTAACAAGCACAGTTTACCCCCAGGATAGACCAAAAGGATATCAACATTTACATAGTAGTGGCTATTTAATTGTTCACCTTTCTGCTATACAGTATTTTCAATAGAGTTAACCAATTGTATTGTATAATATAATGTTTCTGCTAGATATGTTATGTTTCCATATTAAAACTGCCTTGACAATGGGATAGGTACTGTAATATGATTTTTGTCTTTACTCTGTACCAAAGGGCTTTGTCAATATTTTGTTCTGTCAACCTCGTGGGAAGCAGAGGAAAGTGCAAAGGAGCATAATATAGATATTTACACTTTCCATTAATGGCACCTTTCAAACAAAAATATGAACAAAATATATGGAAAAAAAATTTTTAAATTTGAATACTAACTAGTAACTACAGTTCATACAAATATGAGAGTCAACTTCTGTGAAAATATAAACAACTACGCGATATTGACCAAGTTACAAGTCCACATAATTTGATTCTTTCGATTGATTTTACACGAGCGACACTGGTCGAATAGCAGCTGATCCAATCACAATCTAATAAATATATACGCGGAATGTCATATTATACGTACATTTTGCATAAGAATTCCTTTAAAAAATTCGACAATATATTTGAGGTAAAGATATATACCAAGTGCAAAATCACGAACAAATATACACCAAACTGTTCAGTGTTGACTCCTTAGAACTTGCATATCACACTTTCCCAACATTACATAAGGCAATAGCACATGTAATTCTCCATCAAAATGCTTCTTTAATACAATTTTTACTGTAAAATACTCACAAATTTATATTAAAAATTTAACAAAAAAATATCGAAGTAAACTAGTGCGCACTCCCAACGCGAAGGACAAATCAGGACGGTTTGCGAATTTTGCTAGGCCTCCTCGCTTCTCGCCTCTCCACAGTCTCCAAATAAATGCAGCTTTATCCCGGTCAACCTGCAAACCTTGTCGATTTCCCCCTAAAATAATGAGGCGGAAGCGAGAAGGCCAGGAACTAGGCTGACTTGCATGTTAATTATTTCTGAACGTCTGTGTTCTTTAAGTTGTTACGAGTTTTTTTTAAAGCATTTAATAACCCATGATCATTGTTCGTAGGGAGATTCCCCTTAATATTTTTCGATTTCTAACTTAAGTTTATGTATTTCTTCGTCTTTTTGTTTTATAATTGATTCCATATCCTGCTTGACGTGGATTGAGTTGATCTCAATAAACGTAGATTCCTCCTGGTATATCAAAGTAAATAGTCGATATTCTAAAGTCTTAAAGTCAAGTTTCACTCCCTCCAACTGAGCGACTATATATCTCGGTTTATGCAGTTATCAGTTTGTTTACATACCTTAGCCATTGATACCGAACTGCTGTTACTCACATTAGTTACCTCATCACATTCGAATGCATTCACTAAGCTCGCCAATTTTCGTTTTAAGTATTGTTCGTTATCAGCCAGAATCCTAAGCTTTTTTGAATGACCGTGCCATTTTATATTAAATTCAGAATTTGTATAAGTCATATTTATACGGAGCACTTAAACATACGTCCTTTCACGTTCACGTTCACGTTCACGTCCGCTCCGTAGACCCGCAGTTTTCTCACAAAGTGCGATTTTATCTTCAATAATGGACAACTTGCATGTTAGACTAAATTTTAATCTAAGTACCGTAGAAAGAAGGGAAAATCAAACACCACAGCTAAAAAGAACATAATGAAATCAGTAAAATTGCTAAGTTTGGTTACGAAATGTTGGAAAATATAGACAATAAATTATAGCCTTGCGAAATTTGTAAGTTTTCAATATATTTGTATTACGTGCGGAAATTGTTACCATTTTCGGCTCAAAAATGGTAACAATTTCCGCACGTAATACAAACGTACTGAAATATATCAATTATACTGATTTTGATAAGTTCTTTACGGGAGTTTTCTTTTTTTCGCCTAAATCAAAAATTAGTCTAACATGCAAGTTGTCTATTTCACGACAATTTTTTTGATTGTTCAACAACACTTTTCGAACTTTCGCGCTTTTTATACGCCGCTGTTCGAATGTCGATAACTTTAAAACTAGGAAGTGAAACTCAAATCCCAGACGTCAATTTTTAGAAAATTTCTTATTTTACCTTGTCATTTAATTTAATTTAAATTCAATAAAAAAATTTAAGACCCTAAATGTTCTGTTCAAATGTATGTTTTTACCGGAAGTAGTAACCAATTACGCATTCTGATTGGCTTAGAGCGAAAATGTCAACAAATGCATTGATTGGTAAAGGACGAAATTCCTCCTTGTTTTACAGAGTTGATACTGGTATTTTTCATGTAAACCTTTATATAAGGATAAATATTAGAGAAAGAGTTCAACAAAATCTATGTTTGTATGAGAAACGAGCCATCTTGGTTAGTTGAGATGTTGTCACCTTGGGCTAGGTGAGATCTAAGTCAAGTGAGATAAAATTTTCCATGTGAAGGCTTTAATATTGTATTGAGCGGCACAGTTGGAAAATACAAACAAAAGGGTGAATATTAATAGACCTAAACCGACATGTCTAAACCTAAACCGACAGTCATATCTTGCAAAACACTGCTGAAGATGAATCTGATTTAGATTCGAAATATACAGTTTTAATAAATTGTGTGTTAATATTATGCACTCCTTATTCGGAATAACTTTTGATTTATTTAAACCGACATGCAGGTGCAGTTTTTTATAATTGAAAACAGGATATCGAAGAAGCCATATGTTTACAGAATGCAGCCCAACCGAAGCGAAATATTTGGTGGGGTAAAAACAGTCATATGAAGACAGAAAATTCGCATTCATGAGAGGGATGAATATATTATCACCTTACTTTACAATCGTATTATGAGCCTCAAGTTCATGCTATTATTTCATTTGTATTCAAACAATTTCGGGGGCATTTTCTTGATGAGCTTTATATAACAGACAGGTATTTCATGACTAAAATGATGTATCTCTTTAAAACCAGGTATTTTCAGGCAACACTGACAGAAATAGTGTTGTGCGTCAAGAACTTTCGCCCGTTCTTGTTGCGAGATTCATCAGAATCCAACCAAGGACTTGGCAAAGTCACATCTCCTTGAGAGCTGAGGTTCATGGTTGTGTTGAAGGTAAGACGCGGAAAATATCCACATTCTAACATTATAAAAACTCTTTGGCAGGATTGGAGTTAAGTTACTATTAGCCTGTGTCTAGTCCCAGATTAAGTTACTATCGAAACCACTAAAGTAGTAAATCGGTCCCTCGAGATTTGCACGCGGGGGATTGATTTTATGTGATAAACCTTTTAGGGTAGCTCGTGACCGGTTTTGAACCTCAATAGCTCTGTTCATGAATTCAGGGGTAGATTGCTTAAATAACATTTTGATTAGTGTGAACAGTGAATCCAGAGTTCTACGAAGCACTTTGAATACCACAGCATGTTTTAGAACTACCAAATTAGACTGTACGTTTAGCCGTTTACACCACACCGGAGAGGTTTGAAACCAGCGCAGAAGAGTGAAACTGTTTTTGAAAACATCATCTTTGCCGTAACAACTTAACCAGGGTATATAAACGGAGCGAGATGAAAACGGAGCTCTTGGTAACTTCGTGTGAACACAAACGCCGTTAATTTTGTTCCGCTTGCAAACCAAGCCTCTCGGGTCTCGAAACAGTAAATTCGAATGCTTTTCGTTTAAAGTTGATCTACAGTCCGATCTGCGCATGTGCACAAATAAGCCCACTTTTTATGATACAAACAGTTTAACTATGTTTTGAGTTCTTGAAAAGCCTGATTGTTGTTTCTTGACCATTTATTATACTCTAGAAGCTTGAAAATATCAATAGTTGTCGAATAAAGCTCAATATTTTGGGCACAAAAATGTAAACAAAGGCTTTGTTTACATACGGACTGTAGATTACCTTTAAATTTCTTTGCTCTATTTGAAATGTTTTGGGTTTACATAAATGCTAATTTAATTTGTAAAAAAACTGCACGTAAAGAGGCTGGTTATTTCGCTCCGGTGGAGTGTGAACGTAGTCTAAGGTATAATAATTGGTACAAATCTTACACCTTAATGCTCTTGTTTATAATTATAACAATACCTCTTTTTAAAACTGGAATATTTACTTCGTTAAATGTAGGTGCTTCGTTCTTTGTTGCTTGATTCATATCAAGTGTATTTGCCGTATCGAAATTTGTGCTTTGTTCCTCAAAATTTGTGCTTTGCATGTAATAATATAATAATGTAAACTTTATTTATCGATTATTAAGACGCAATGCACATGCATCAGAGGAGTTTTCCCGGCAATTTTCAATCGTCTTATATTTGTCATTTTTGCATTGAAAGATGCTACTCAAAAGCTGAAGCCCTTAATTTCTTTTACTGCCTAGTTACTTTGCATTTAATGTCGTGTGCACAAGAGCACGCTAAATATGAACTATCTGTTTTTTATAGATCCTGTATATATACCTATAATATATACTGTCTACTTAATATATGATTAAATTCATATATTTAGGTTCATTCGGCGAATCAATGATACTGGCTAATGAACCTGTCGAATTGGATAATAAACTGTCAGAATGGTTGCCAGGAACGGGAACATGGAGAATATGTTGGCGAGGCACCGAACATGGTTTTGCAGCTCCGATATTTCACGAGAAATGCAACGAGAAAAAACCAAGTTTAGTGATCGTTAAAGTTGTGACGGGTGATAAAAGTTTGATCTTTGGTGGCTATTGTACCGCAACATGGGCTGGAGGTAAGTGTGAATATATTGCAAGGCATTTTTTAATACCATGGACGAGTGGCATTTTCCGGCCCCACTGGGACCCTTTCTCTGCCCCAGCACTGAATAAAAAATGGCCTATATATTGCCTCAAAGCCAGGACCCTAGGACATGTATTGAGTAACCGAGTTTAACATTGAAAAGAAGGTTAAAAACACATTTTTTGGTGAGCATACTTAAACGTGATGTAAAGCCCGTTCTGCGCATACTTTCTGCGCAGGCCTACATTCCAATGGTCGGGGCCCGACCATTGGAATGTTGTTAATATTTCGCACCTTCCAAACTTTCGGCTTGAATTGAATCTCTTGTCTGTACATTAATTAAGTATAATATATATCTAATCATATTTTACAACTGTAGCACTGAGTTCAATGTGTAAACAAATTAAAGCGTTTGATTACATTACGGACTTTACTGTAGTATTATGTAACATACTTAATAATGCATGCATAACACTCTTGTATACAAAGCTGTAGATCGTTATTAATATTAAAAAGTATTAAAAAGATTACAAGACAGTTAAAGAGAAATTCGACTCGTACTTTGTTGTCAGAAGAAACGTAATATATGAGCGTGCTAAGTTCAATAGGAGAGCTACCTCGTCCCAGGCGCTTTGGTTTGTTTACGTCATTAGCGCACGGGGGACGGCACGCGAGGGAGAAATAATTGGCATTCAAAATGGCGGGTCAGTGTTCTGCAAGTGTTCTGTATTATTTATATTATTATTGAAATGATATTGTTCACAGCAAAATACGGGTTCGTACATTGCCATTACTCTTTAGAATGCATTATTTAACTTAAACTTTTAATAGTTTGCCTTGTTCATACACTTTTTATAGTATTAACTATGCAGTCATTACAGTGTCATGATTATGCCGTTTTCGTTTTTGAGAAATTTGTGGTTGAGATACCAAATTTGATTTATTTGTCAAGATTTGTCAAGTATAACTTAGAGCCATATGGTTCGAACATAGCCTGCATATATATGTTATGTTTATATTTTCATTATGATCTTGGCTAGGCTACGCCATATATATATATACCGGGTGGCGCAAAAAAAAGTACACGCGTTTGATTTAGTACAGCGAAAAAACTATAAGTGTTACGTTCCTCACATAAATGTTATCCTATCCAGGAAGGCCTAACTTAAATTTTGATGTATAACACATGCATTTTTGTTTAGTATTACCCAAGATATTGGTAAATCAATTTGAATATGCAATTTCAAAAGGTTCCAAAATTAGCTGAAAATAGCCTATTAAATACGAGTAAAGGAATTAACGATATATGAAGAACACAACGGCAGTAAATAACGCGTTTATCATGGAAAATTAAATAACTATATTCTTGCACGTGTGACCATACTATCGAACGAACGTTGGATTTATTTGCTGGTCGAAGTTATGGCAATCACTCAGCAATAATCGCTTCACGAAGCTGTCTCAAATTGTTCGGTTGTTGATCTAATTTAATTCCCTATAGCTATGGGACATGGAATACTGCGAAGCAATTCTTAATTAATAAAAGAGCCATCTTTTTCGAAATTTTGTTGCTTTTCAAATGATAATAAAACAAATAAATAAATAAGGAAAATCATTCGTTACACGTTTCAATTCAAATTAAATTCATACAAGCGAATATGTCTGACGAAATTCTAAAATTTATCAAAACAGTTTAATAGGCCATTTTTAGCCAATTTGTCAGATTTTCAAAAGTTCGTTCCAAATTTTATTTGGCGATATCCCAGTCAATATTGCACGTAAATAAACATGCTATAGCTCAAAATTTAAGTTAGACTTTTATGAATACAGCTACGTTTATTTCAGCGATGTAACACTTATAGTTTTTTCGCTGTACTAAATCAAACGCGTGAACTTTTTTTTGCGCCATCCGGTATATATATATTTATATATCTATCAATTTAATCCACGCGGACCGCCATAGAACAACACATAGCGCCTGGGTACGTGGCTGATAGGAGAGTACAAAACGAACACGGACCAGTCGTAGAATTCATAAACTCAGTATACGTGTTGGCTGAACATTGTGAATATGGAGATTTGCACGACCAAATGATCCGTGACCGCATTGTTGTTGGTATAATCGGATGAACATGTATCACAAAAGCTTCAAATTCACACTGATCTAACGTTAAAGAAAGCACAGATATTGTTCGAAAAACTGACGCCGTCAAGAAACAGCAAAGTGAACTGAGAAACAAAGCTGATTTCCCAGTCAATGGCGTAGATTCTATTCGTTCCGCAAAGCACAAGAAATCGCGGCGAGATGAGAACAACAAAGCTACAGGAAAATCAAACCAGAAAGATTTCCCTGGTAAACAAAGCTGTTTTCGATGTGGAAAAAACCTATTCCATAGCAGAGAAAAATGTCCTGCTAGAAATTCCACGGGTAACAAGTGTTCTAAGTTGGACATTGGGCTAAAGTCTGCAGAACTAAAGTGGTCGCGGAGGTGGTCAAAGAAAACAGTGATAATGATGCAAATTATGAATTCCTATCATGCCAAAACAATGCTCAGTGTTACATTCTTGTGATGGAAAGAAAATAGATATCTATAGAAAATTCGCTGCAACAATAGATGCTGATGAGAAAATAACAGTACAAGATGTGTATGTTATCAAAAGTTTATGATTACATCAAGCTCTTTTAATTGGGTGGGCCAGCTATACGTGCTCTGAATCTACTCCAGAAAACAAAGTTTGTCGAGACAGTAAAGACCTGCAGCGACGAAGTTGAGCCTAGGAAAAAGTGGAAACGTCAGTCTCCAAAGCTATTCAAAGGAATCAAGAATGAATACACAATCAAATTGAAATCAGATGCTAAACCCCATGCTGTTTACACGCCAAGAAAGATAGCACATCCTCGGTTACCTAAAGTTAAAAATGAACTGGACAGCTGGATGGAGAAAATGGGTGTCATCTCAAAAATTGGAACTCCCACAGAATGGTGCTCTCATATGGTAGTGGTACCAAATTCAAATGGTGACATCAGAATTTGCATTGACCCGTCCAAGTTAAATGAAAGCATTCTACGAGAAGCGCACCACCAACCTAGTGTCGATTATACATTGGCAAAGTTCGTGGGATCGACAGTGTGCCCAAAGCTTGATTGTAACTCTGGTTTTTGGCAAATCCCATTATCAGAAGAATCTGCTCCCATAACTACATTCATAACCCAATGGAGAAGATATCATTTAAATGTACGACCTTTTGGAATAACACCAGCGTCAGAACATTTTACAAAACAGCTGGAGATGATCTTGAAAGACTGTGAACGGGTATGTATCGAGATTGATGATATTCTTGTTCATGGAGAGGATACTGAGGAGCATGATGAAAGATTAAAGAAAGTTCTTCAAAAGCTCGAAGAAGCGAATGTTACGTTGAATGGCGACAAGTGTGAATTCTCAAAACCTGAACTTCACTATCTGGGTCATGTGATTAACGATACAGGAATCAATGCGGATCCAGGTTATCACAGAGATGTCATCGCCAAACAGCACCCAAGAGGCGAGGTGGTTCTTAGGAATGTTCAACCAGCTCACCAAGTTCTCATCGGGATTAGCTGATAAGACTAGACCTATCCGAGATTTATTGAGTGATAAAGCTCACTGGAACTGGGGCATCCAGCAAGACGAGGCCTTATACGATCCAAAATGGCATTATACGATCCAAAATCGGAGACAAAGATTCGCACAGATGCATCTTCATATGGTTTTGGTGCAATTTTAATGCAAAGACAAAGTAATCATCAATGGCAACCAGTCGCGTATGCTTCTAGAGCATTGTCACCAACAGAACAAAGATATGCATAAATTGAAACGAAGCACTGGGAATTATGTGGGGATGTGAGAAGTTTTCTGAGTACATTTCTGGCATGAAGTTTCATATAGAAACAGATCACAAGCAATTGGTTCGAGTATTTACGCAGAAGAGTCTCAACGATATGTCTCCAAGGATACAAAGATTCCTGATGCGAATAATGCGATTCACGTATACAATCTCTCACGTGCAAGGAAAAGATTTGGTGTGTGCTGACACTTTGTCTCGTTCTCCAATAATGGATAAAGGAGATGAAGATATACTCACTGGAGAGGCAAACGGATTTGTTGATCAAGTATTGAAAGAGTTACCATGCACAGAAGATAGATTAAATGAGCTTAGAATACGTCTCAAGCAAGATGTAGTATGTAAACAAGTTATGAAGTACTGTACTTATAGATGGCCAGACAAGAATCATGTCAATGACGCTATGAAACCCTATTGGCAACATGTAGGTGATTTAACGGTTCAAGACAGTCTCTTACTCCATGGAAAAAGATTGGTGATCCCTTCATCAATGAGATTGGACATACTTAGTAAAATACATTCAGGACATCTCGGGATAACCAAGTGCCGAGAGAGAGCAAGAACGTCGGTGTGGTGGCCTGGTATGAGCAAACAAATTGATGATTTGGTTCGAAATGTAATATATTCATTATGTTGTATATGTAATTAGGGCTAGACTATATAAGTGCATGCATAATTAAACATGTTGTTCTTCTTGTATGCTTGCTGTTTGGTCTAGTGTGCTAGGTTGTTTTATAACCAAAGTTAATCCATTGCGTCGTGTTGTATTTCTGCTTTATAACAACACATAAGCACTACAATTGGCGACGAAGATGTTTAAAATGTTATTTTGTTATAATATGCTTTAAAAGAGCCGTTTCAATGGCTGTAAATATTGAACTTAGCGGTATACAGCTGTTCGATTCAACTGGAGATTCAACTAGTGTGTCTCCCAGATGGAAGCGATGGCGAAAGTCATTTCAGTTTTTCGTCGAAGCAAAGGGTATCGAAGAAGGAAAGCAGAAGAAAGCCCTTCTCCACTGTGCTGGCGTGGACGCGCAAGAAATATTTGAAGCTTTGGACAACTCTAAAGCCGGGGGGTAAACAGTAAAACCAGTAAGACCAGTAAGACTGATGATGAATATGAAATTGCTTTGAAAATTTTAGACGAATATTTCTCACACATCATTAGATAATCATAACATTTCGGCCAATGACATGGTGTAATTTACATCACGTGTATCTATCTGGATACCCCGTCTAGACCAGGACATTAATTACTTCATGTGGTGAGGGCTTTGAAGTTTGAATAATAGGGAAATTGAGGGGTAAACAAAAGATTATGCAAATATATTTAATTGCTATGTTTAGAATTATTTCTTGTATTTAAAAATAACTTCTAAATACACAAAAACATTAAATCACACTTCAAACAACAAAATATGTTGCTTTTTTAATCACACTAACAATAATACACATACAATTGACTATAGTATTACTTATTTACGGCAAATAAAATGTTAAAGGAACAGTTAGTGAATGTACTGTTCGACAAAACAAACTTTTCGGCGATAGTACGTCGCTGCACCTCTTTATCTTTATCGCTATTGTTTTCTATGACAAAGTTGCCTAATCTTAACTGTCTGTGTTCACATAATATATATACATTTGTGCAAACCAAACTTTGAGCAGTTTTGTCTCCCAGCAAGCCTTTTGACCACAGCAATCCTCTTCATCATCTGTAATAGCTACTTTCTCTCGTCTTGTACGCTTCTCCGCAATCGATTGGCCTTCCCGGTTGGTGGCTTTCATTTCACTATCCAGCACTCTTCTGAACGTCTGGAAACTGAGTAATACACATGCTTATACATTACAATTAATTAAACTAAACCAATAATTAAAAATGAACAAATTCAACCTACCAGTGATTGTTAGCATTGAACATGTTAGCTTCAGCCCGGCCATTTTCGTCTAGATGTCGCTTCAACGAGCATATAATTTGGCATACTGTACGCCCGGGATATGGCTTGCCATCCTTGTCGCAAACTTCTTGAACAAGTTTGATAAGCCAGAAGTTTGACGTTCTTGCCGTCATTGAACACAATTCTGTCATCACATTTTGCAAATTCTGCAAATCTAAGCAGAATAAAGCCTAAAGGTAGAAGGTCCAGGAAAGTAAGTAGAGGAATTAACTCTGTAGACTATGATGATGAGTATGCTTTTACTGTCTGTGCGAATGAAAAATCAAATTCAATGGGATTAATAGACATTAATGTTGGGGGATTAACATTAGAAACTTTATGATTGACTCGGGATCTAGTTGCAATATCATAGATTAAGATACATGCGAATTTTTAAAAAATAATGTGGTGAAATGTAAGTCCCAGAAATCAGCGGGAAATGAATATGCATATGGGTCAACAACACCACTTAAAACTCTTGGTAAATTCCAGACTAACATTGTATATTGTAACACAGTGACTGAAGCTGAGTTTATAGTTTTAGATGGAACAGGACGACCATTATTAGCTAGGCTGTTCAAATGCAAAACAGTTAGGTGTACTGAAGATGGGACATACAATATAAGTTTCCAGAATGTTTTCAGGGTGTGGAAAAATTGAAAGATTTTGAAGTGAAGATCCATATATATTGATCCTGAAGTTAGACCTGTTGCGCAGAGTCCACGACGAATACCTTTCGGATTGAGGAAGAAAGTTGAAGATAAGTTGACTGAGTTACTGGATACAGACATTATTGAGAAAGCAGAAGCACCAACACCTTGGGTAAGTCCAGTTTGTATTGTTCCTAAACCTTCAGGCGAAATAAGGCTATGTGTTGATATGAGAAGGGCTAATGAAGCAATTCAGAGGGAAAAGCACCCAATACCTACCATGGCTGAAGTACTTCTGGACATGAATCAAAGTACAGGGGTTTCCATCAAATTGAATTGGAAGAAGACTCTAGAGCAATAACCATTTTTGCAACCCACGGTGGCTTGTATCGTTATAAAAGGTCATGTTTGGGATCACATCTGCCCCAGAAGTATATGAACATATCATTCAACAGGTTTTACCGGGATGTGAGGGCGTTCAAAATATTGCAGATGATATAATTGTGCATGGCCCAAAGATTGAATTGCATGATCAAAGGTTAACCAAAGTGTTGGAAAAATTACAAGAGAAAGGACTTACTCTCAATCCAGAGAAATGTGAGTTCCGCATAACCAAAATTACCTTTATGTGTCACTTATTGTCTGATAAGAGAATCGGGCCCACTAAAGAGAAAGTGAAAGCAGTGGTTTATGCCAGGGAACCCAAGTCCGGAGTTTCCTGGGTTTGGTTAATTTTTGTAGTCGGTTTATACCAGATTTGGATACTATTGCTGAGCATTTACGAAAGCTAACTCGCACGACAACACCTTTTGTTTGGGGTGAGGAACAAAAGAGCTCGTTCCAAGAACTGAAAGATAAGATGTCCAGTGCCGACTCGTTAGCTTATTTCGATAAAGAAGTCTATAAATAGTGATTGTTTCGGATGCTAGTCCCGTGGGTTTAGGTGCTGTGCTTTTACAAATGCAAGAAGGTGTAATAAAAGTTGTTGCGTATGCCAGTAGGTGTCTCTCCGATGTGGAAAGACGATATTCTCAGATAGAGAAAGAAGCACTAAGTATTGTATGGGCCTGTGAGCGATTTCACGTTTATTTATATGGGATTTGTTTTAAAGTACTCACGGATCATAAGCCATTGGAAGTAATCTATTCCAAGACACATAAGTCCTCAACCAGAATTGAGAGATGGGTATTAAGGCTACAGAACTATGAATGATTTATTCGGACTCGTATATTAGTAGAGAAACTTGATGAATGGTCCTTTAGGGAAAAGGATGATTCTGGAAATATATTCATTATATATTCATTATGTTGTATATATAATTAGGGCTAGACTATATAAGTGCATGCATAATTAAACATGTTGTTCTTCTTATATGCTTGCCGTTTGGTCTAGTGTGCTAGGTTGTTTTATAACCAAAGTTAATCCATTGCATCGTGTAGTATTTCTGCTTTATAACAACACATAAACACTGCACGAAACTGTCATGAATGCGTGAAGAAAGAAAGAATAAAGCAGAACCATGAATAAAGCAGAACCAGATCGACCATGGCGCGAAAACTTTGCACTGATCTGTTCGAGTAAAGAGGGTAAGACATATCTTATAATCGTTGACTACTCTTCAGGATATTCCGAAATAGCTCTCTTAAATTAAACAGTATTACATCTACAAGTGTAATTACGTATAATAACAATAATAATAATAATAATATTTATAATAATAATAATAATAATAATAATAATAATAATAATAATAATAATGGAAACTTTTTATTAGATATTTACAATATACTATATATTTAACAATTATTCGCCGAAGGCGAGGTGATTATCGGTGAATAAAAACCGAGACGAAGTCGAGGTTTTTATTCACGATAATCACCGAGCCTGAGGTGAATAATTGTTTTAGTATAATTTCATAGGTGATTATTTGGAAAAAAATAAATTAAAATGCACATTTCTTTGTCATTTGATTGACAAAACGGCTTCGGCCGCCATTTTGAAAATCGCTTAGGTGATTATCGCGTAATAATCACCTCAACGGCAACCAATCAGCGTGGAGAATTTTCAATAATCACCTATGTAATTATACTAAACATTGATAAACCTCACTTAATAAAAGGTAGCTTATCGATGTCCACTTGAATTGAATATGAAGCGAAAATATATATACAGGTGAAAATCTTTTAAATTTAGTTAAAGTTTAAAAGTTCTGGGTTGTTCCAGTCTTTGTTTCGTCTACACACTGTTAATTTCGAGGAGTCAAATTGACTCCAAAAGTGGAGTAAATAAAAAAGGTACAGAACAACTCCTTTTTTGGAGTAAATTTTACTCCTTTATTTACTCCATTTTTGGAGTAAATTTTACTCCATAAGTAGTTGTTTTTACTCCTCAAAGAGTAAAAACAACTCTACTTAAGGAGTAAAATTTACACCAAAAATGGAGTAAATAAAGGAGTAAAATTTACTCCAAAAACGGAGTCGTTCTGTACCTTTTTTATTTACTCCACTTTTGGGGTCAATTCGACTCCTTTGGAGACAAAATGACTTCTATATATCGCAGTAAAGAAGTCTTCAACTAACTTTAGAAATCAATAAAGACATTTTTCGAGTCAAAATAATTTATTATTCCTACAAGTAAGGTATATTATAGCAGGAAATACAATTTGCTGTAGCATAATATAATGATATACTCTTACGCCCTGTAATATTTTTTAATGAAGTTCTAAAATGAAATTTTGATTAGAATGATATCATGAATACATGTGGAATACAATTACAAGCCTGTCAGCATGAATTGAACCTGCAGCCCTGCAATTCTACCACAGCCCTCTGACCTAAAGAGCCCTTTTGCCAAGAGGTAACCACAACTTGCTTTATATATACCATGGTGGTGTCATTGGTAGTGTATTAAATAAACTGCCCAGGATGACACTAGTATTATATACATGAACTCTTGGTTACAGTAGAGCTTGATTGACTCTCAGGGCGATGGACTCTTACGGCTTGAGGACACTTGACGGTTAAAAAGCTGATCAGAATCACAGGGCAGCAGGTTCCATTCCCAGCACAGTACCGGCTATTACACAGTTATCGTTCAAAAAATTTACATTTACAGAAAAGCTTTAGCCATTAAGTGGCAGCACTCTCTCCTTAATGAGCAAAAATTGTCTGACCACATTAGACAGAAAAAGTAAAGCAAATTGCCACTTAAAGGGTTAATATTCTGTTCAATGTAGAATTTTACAAGTAAAATATACTGCATGTATTAAATGTATGTAGTGTCACTGCTCAATCAAACATGGCAAGCAAGTCCATTAGTAAAAATTTAGTACAAAACAAGCTGTATACCACAAGTCGGCTACTCCATCCCTTGCATGGTTTGGTAATTCACAAAAATGCTCTCCAGCAAAAGAATAACATTTTCCAAATAGACCATGAAGTTATTAGAATGCCATTAATGATCACATATAATACCACTTGTTTAGACAACTTGCCTTCTCCTGGGAAGCTTTTGTTAAATCCATATATTAATGACAATCCCTAGTAAGAAAAAAATATATAAGGTTGATACTTAACAGCAGCAAATTATTGATTGATGTTTATGATGTTACTCTGAGTGTGCATCCACACCGGGCAAGCTGAAAGGTTAGTTTGGCCACGGTGGGAATCGAACCTGCGGCCTTTGGAATACTAGTCCAATGCTCTGTCAACTGAGCTACATATTTTGGAACTGAGTCTAGTTCCTTCGATATCAGTGTACAGGGGTATTTAATGATACGATTATTTTGTGTGTGTTGGTGTCATGCATGTACTCAGGTGAACATACAATGTTTGTGATGTTACTCTCACTGAGTGTGCATCCACACTGGGTAAGCTGAAAAGTTAGCTTGGTCACGGTCACAGGTTCGATTCCCACTGTGGCCAAGCTAAATTTTCAGCTTGCCCGGTGTGGATGCACACTCACAGAAACATCACAAACATCATATATTCACCTGAGTACATAATGTACGAGTCAAATCCAACCGCGATCAGGCCCCCCCGGGGAATTTGGTCAAATGCCCGCCCGAACAGGCAGAAACCACAGTCAAATGCCCTGCTATAGGGGTAGTCCTGGTTCTGGAATTTTGGCCAAAATTAAATTGAACAAGTATTTCAAGATTAAAAAGAATGAAAAATAGGCCAGATAGTTCTTCTTTTTGTTCAACTGGGCATATTGTATCATATATCTACGATTGATATTTGTGATTCAGAAGCAATTTTTAAACTATCGAAAAGACGCAAAATAGAAAACTCGTGAAGCGCTAGAATGTACACATATTTTTAGGGAAAACTGCTGAGCAAGTTGTTGTCAAGTGGTCAAATGCCCGGCTGGGCCGTCAAATTCCCGACCGGGCCATCAAATTCCCGCCTATACGGGGATAATGTTAAGTCAAATGCCCTGGGGTTGCCCGGGGGGGGACTGATCGTGGTTGGATTTGACTCGTACATAACACCAACACACACAAATTAAAAATTATTGATTGATTGACAATGAATTTGCTATTTTTGCATGGTTGTTTGCATATACAAAGCAAGAAATACAAAATTCAAATGCTTTTACTCATTTAATGTAAGCATGCAATTGAACTAACATCATCCAAATGAATACAACTTTTCTGGTAAAGGGTGTTTAAAATAGAGGTGCATAATTGACCCAAAATTCTTTGTCCCAAAATCTTGCTAATGCCAAGCTAGGATTTTCCATATAAATTATATACAATCACGCACGATTTGGCACAGTATTACCCCTGGGCCCAGGGTAAAAAGATCTCTGTGATTGTTTTTGTCAGTTTATACATTTCGAGACTGTCTGCAAAAGTATGAGTGATTGATCACTTGTTGGTTCAGTTTATTGGGAAATGTGCTTCTACTATATAACTCAGTCTGGGTGATTTGTTTTGGCAAGCCTGCCCATCTAAAGAGGCTCATGTTACCAGACATTCATCCAGGGAAAGCGAGCTATAGCCAGGTTACCTGGGTGGCTCGCCTCTATATAAGCAGCCCCTTACACATGTTTTAGGCTGACTGATAGCCGATAGGAGGGTTACCATAGCAAGCACATGCCATACACTGGGTAATATTAGATGGGCTATTGCAATGCTGTCAAATGTGACTGCATTTCAAACAGATCACATATATAAAAGTATACATATTTAACACGAAATACAACATACATGTATATCACACAAATAAAGCCCCGTTTACACGAGCAAATTTTATTTGACAAATTTCATATGTCAGAGATATTTTGCTCGTGTAGATGATAAATTTGGGACAAATTTATTGTGACAAATGCATTTGAACAAAGCTAGCATGCTAGCTTTTGATGAAATGAAATTTGTCAAATAAAATTTGCTCGTGTAAACGGAGCTAACAACACAAGTAGAGACTGTAGATTAGACTTATGGACTTCTGCTAATACAAATTAATCGAAAATTAAAACTGAACGTCTAGATCGGCAAATCGGCGGCGAAGCGACTAAAATACAGCCCTTCGTCTTCGATTTAAAAATATAACTATACAGTATATCAAGTAACTTTCCGCACACAAATAAGTAAATACACAATAAACATACCTTTGAAAACAAATTCCATGTATCTTATTAGGTCTTTGGAACTTTATATGTAGAAAATTTGAATAAATATCTTTCCCTTTGAATGTTTGCTCTCAAAGGATTGAACTTGGCGCCTGGTCTTTGTGTGAACCAGATCGAATTACTACAACACGTGGTATATTCTAAGCATGCTAATTGGTTGAAACTCTGGAACTTCCACTTGTCGCAAATTTTTTTCAGCAGAATTCAGCAGCAGAACATTCCACACGTTCAAATTACAGATTTAGGCCAGCAAATAAAAAATATAGATGACTCGCCGACAATTTCTGGCTACCGATTCGATCGCCGCGTGCGATTGAAGCCGATATACGGTATAATACATCAATGGCATCAATCTGACATGGCAACATTCGAGTAACCAAAAACGTAAAACTAAAAAAAAAAGACTTTATATCTCGAACTTCGTGCTTTTCGCATCTGACTGTATTCAATACTTGAATAGAGTATAGGCTATAGCCTCCAGCAGAAAAAGTCTTGGATTCTCAGGCACATTAATTATATATTGTAATAATTTACTCCAGATCCAGAACAATTTTACTCTTTTTTGGGAGTTGAAACGACCCCTGGAGTAAAATTAAGGAGTACAAATTACTCCATAATTTCTACTCCTAAACGCGAGTTTAGTTTACTCCTCCAGCGGAGTAAAATTGACTCCTGATGGAGTAAATTGTGGAATGCGCGACAAAGTGGAGTAGTTTTAACTCTATTTTGGGAGTAGATTTTACTCCACTATTTTTACTCTCCCGAGTTGAGTAGTTTTAACTCCTATGGTGGAGTTAAAATAACTCCTTGAAATTAACAGTGCAGAATATATAATAAGACGTGCGAATACAAGTAGCAATTATTTTCTTTTTTACATATTTAATACATTGTTCGTCGTACTTCAGATCATGGAGCATTTAAAATAAAGTATTCGTCGATTCAGCAAATACACCTAAAGAGCTTATAGATACATTAACAAACTTAACTTCATCATACATATTTTCTTGATCGGCAATTAGAGTCAAATATTTTTCATGTTTTCGATCTGAGTTAGTTTTCAGGTTTGTTTCGAATCCAACAGTTAATTCAAGAATGTACAAAATCTTATTTTCAATTGTCAATAGGAGGTCTGGTCGTAACTCGTCACCAGTGATGACAAATGGGCTAATAAATCCAGGCAGATCTACATACATTTTGGACCTTCCGACGTCGAGAAGGCTGGACGCAATGAGATTCAAAACTGAATCATGTCGCCATGTATATCTCCCTTCGTTTAGATATGTCTTACATCCAGAGATTACGTGCAAAAGCGATTCAGGGCGGAAGCAGAACGAACAGTCAGAAGATGATGACAGACCCCATTTAACTAGGTTTTTCCTAGTAGGCAAAGAATTGGTTGATGTAACGTAGACTGAAGTTAAATATGTTCTTAGGAAGTTTTGAATGAACCGATGACCATAGGGAATTGAATGCCAACGTGGAGTTTTTTACGATGTTTGAGAAAAGAGAACCTAATATAATAATAATAATAATAATAATGGAAACTTTTTATTAGATATTTACGATATACTATATATACATTGATAAACCTCACTTAATAAAAGGTAGCTTATCGATGTCCACTTGAATTGAGTTTAAAGCTAAAATATATATACAGGTGAAAATCTTTTAAATTTAGTTAAAAGTTTAAAAGTTCTGGGTTGTTCCAGTCTTTGTTTCGTCTACAGAATATATAATATGACGTGCGAATACAAGTAGCAATTATTTTCTTTTTTACATATTTAATACATTGTTCGTCGTACTTCAGATCATGGAGCATATCAAATAAAGTATTCGTCGATTCACCAAATACACCTAAAGAGCTTATAGATACATTAACAAACTTAACTTCATGATATATATTTTCTTGATCGGTAATTAGAGTCAAATATTTTTCATGTTTTCGATCTGAGTTAGTTTTCAGGTTTGTTTCGAATCCAACAGTTAATTCTAGAATGTACAAAATCTTATTTTCAATTGTCAATAGAAGGTCTGGTCGTAATAATAATAATAATAATAATAATAATAATAATAATAATAATGGAAACTTTATTAAATGTTTTTCTTTACATACATATACAATCGTAAATCTTTCTCATAAAGGTAACTTACGGTTGGTTTTATAATAATAATAATAATAATCTTTATTGCACACATAAATTACATAACGAGAAATACAATTAATAAAAGGGAAAAAAAGTTTTACAAAAGACAGTGTGCAAGATCACCTATAATAACCATAAGGGACTAATCGAGACAGGCGATCTTCTAAAATAATACAATTAACACAGAATTACGAAAAAAGATAGCATTACATCCACGGAAGATAAATATAGCTCCGATCATTATCTAAGCATGAGTTTGCTCCATATCAGTGCTTTGTTTTTACTTAAATATATATATATATATATATATATATATATATATATATATATATATATATATATATATATATATATATATATATATATATATATATATATATATATATATATATATATATATATATATATATAGTAGCCACACATATTTATTAAAACAAATTAAAATTGTTATTTTTAAATTATAGTAATCTCAGTTAGATAAGTAGTTAATATAAACTTATCAGAGATATGAGTTGTTTTGCTAGACATGGAATTCCAGATCGTGTTATATCAGATAATGGTCCTCAATTAGCCTTTCTCACGCCGCCATTTTTGGGGTACTGTAATTTTTCGTAAACGGTTATAACAATGTGAAAAGCAATATTTCAGAACAAACTAACAATTTACAGAGTAAATTTACCATCATACACCCATAAAATTATAAAATGTCGCCGTTACGTGGTGTTACGCTCGCAGGATTGGCAAAATAGTGCCCCAAAAATGGCAGCGTGAGAAAGGCTAATTGAACGGGCAGTGAAAACGGTGAAAAGTCTTCTTCAAAAGTCGAAAGATCCGTATATTCGAAAGAATATCGAGACACTCTACTCAAGAATGGTTATAGTCCTGCTGAACTCTTATTTGGAAGAACGATTCAAACGACTCTTCCACTAGTATCACAGCACCTTGTCCCTACCTGGCCTTATCTTGTAGCTGTCAGAGATAGGGAAGAAAGAATGCAGAAACGATAGAAGAAGAATTACGATTTCCGTCATAAAGTGAAAACATTAGAGCAACTTGAACCTGATTGTCCAGTGTGGATTCCAGATCGTAAAGAGTCGGCTACAATTGTCATGTGGTTAAGAGCCCAACAACAACTGTTCGACGCAACTGTTCGACATCTGATCGAAGACCCTTCAAAGAATAGTCGCGAAGAGCCGCAAGAAGCACATCAACTACATCAGGAACTGCAGTGCCAGAGAACAATCCAGGTTATTACACAAGATCAGGTAGACTATCTGCACCACCTGATAGACTGGTATATATTTAGTGTTTTGCTCTTTATTATCTCTTATATAACTAACGTACAATGTCTAAATCGAATGAACCTAGATGTTCGTAAATGTTGTTTATATATCGTATCTCCGCTGACGCACCACACCGTGGGCGCTACCGGTACAGGTAGCCCGTACATATCGTAACATCTTCCCTTCCAAAAATAATAATCAAACTGTCTAACATTAAGTTTAAAAAATATATATATATAAGTAATTAAATGTCAACAGTAATTCATTGATATCCTGAACCTAAAGGTTGAGTCTCACTGGCGGTTTGCTTATCCGTCCGCTCCTTGTTATCTTTACGGGTTGCGCTATTTCTGGAGTTGGTAGGCTGACTGGTACAGGTGGCTCCTCTGTGGTAGTAGGTTGCTGCAATGGCTGCACGGGGACCAAATCCGACTGAATGACTGATGGCACTGCCAAGGGTGAGGTTTCCGGTGGAGTTTCAGCAGTACTATCCCTTGCGCTACATAGGAATTTCCGATTTCTGCGAAATACGGAGCCATCAACATCGACCAAATACGATCTTGCGGCAACTTTGCCAAGGCAAATCCCTCTCCTCCATTTGTTCCTACCATCCTTGGGTAGGCTGGTCATTCTGATTGGTTGACCAATTTTTAAATCTGGTAGCTCTTTTGAACCTGGATCGAAATGTTTTTTAGCTTTTTTGCGCTTCAACGTAAGCCTCGTCTGAACGTCTTGTTGGATCTCAGGCTCCAGCAGGTGTGCTGCAAGTGGCAGTGTTGTCTTGGTTCTCTTTGACATCAGCCTTTGTACTGGACTACTGTCCATACCCTCTGTCGGTGTATTCCTATAATCCAGGAAGCTCATCCACATATCTCGTCCAGTTCTTTGTGCCTTCTTCTGCAGGGTTTTCGCAGATTTCACTGCTGCCTCTACAAGCCCGTTGGATTGCTTGTGGTATGGAGAGGATGAAAAATGCTCGAACTGCCAATGATCGGCAAAAGATGCATATTCTGTGCAGTCGAATTGGGGGCCATTATCACTGTAAACTCGATCAGGTATGCCATAGCGGGCAAGGTGCTGCTTAGTCTTATTGATAACGTCGGCTGCCGTAGTTTGAGATAGTTCATCAACTTCCCAGAATCCACTGTAAGCATCAACTGTTATAAGAAAGTCTTTTCCGTCTAGACTGTAAAGATCCTGTGCAATGACACTCCATGGGCGCTTTGGGAGCTCTGGAGTCATCAGGGGTTCTTTGGCTTGTGCTGGCGCAAAATCTGCACAAAGACTACAACTGCTGACCAGATCTTTAACTTGTTGGCTCATGCTGGGCCAAAAAAGAGCATCTCTTGCACGGCGAAGACACGCTTGCTCCCCTTGATGACTAGCATGTATACGAGACAGCAGTTTCTTGCGGAGAACAGTGGGGACGATGACCCTATCTCCCTTGTACAACACCCCGTTATAGATACTTATTTCCTCACGGAACGTCCAATACTCAGCAACGCTCGGGTCTGCTTCCGGTTTGGTTTCAGGCCATCCCCGCAACACTATCTCTTTAAGGCGCTGTAACTTTGCGTCTGCCTCTGTTTCACGCTGGATACTCCTCAGACCGTCATCCGATACTCTTATAAATTCAGACGCATTTATTTGTTCCACATCCACACGGCAAACATCTTCTTTCTCCGGCCTCAGACAGTTCCCAGGAGGAACAACATCGGGTAAAGGAGCCTAGAAAGCGTGTCAGCAATAAACATCTCAGTTCCTTTTTTATAGCGAACTTTAAGATTATACTTCTGAAGACGGAGTAACATGCCTTGAAGACGCTTTGGAGCTGCTGTCAAGGGCTTCCCAAAAATGGCTTCTAGGGGCTTGTGGTCGCTCTGTACATCCACTGACTTTCTTCCATAGATGTATTGATTAAATCTATCACACGAAAAGACTATTGCTAAACACTCCTTTTCTATCTGGGCGTAACCTCTTTCTGTTGGCGTTAATGTCCTGGACGCAAATGCCACAGGTTGTCCATCTTGAAGCAGAGCAGCTCCAAGACCAGTCTCACTGCTGTCACACTGAATTGACACTGGCTTGATAATATCATAATAGCATAGAACTGGATGGTTTGCAACCAGTTTCTTGATACGATCGAAGGCATCTTGATGGTGCTTTTCCCAAACCCATTCAGCATCTTTGTCGGTTAGTCGTCTTAGATGTTCACTCTCGTCTGCGAGATGTGGCACGAATTTGGCGAGGTAATTGACAAAGCCCAGGAATCCTTGCACAGCCTTCACCTTCTCTGCCCTGTTACGTCCATCAGGTCGTGGCATGTCTTGCACCGCACGCACCTTTTCAGGATCAGGCTTTACATCATCGGGGGTAAGCAGGTGGCCAATATAGGGAACTTCATTTAATCTAAGCTTCAGCTTCTTGGGATTCAGTTTTAAGTTCACTTCCCTTGCTCTCTGCAGCAATGCTACGAGATTTCTATCATGATCTCGAAGCTCTTCCTCTTGTGTCTCCCCTTGACCTGTGATCAGGATGTCGTCTGCGATTACGTGGATGCCAGGGAGACCTTCAAGCACCTCATGTTGTCGCCTCTGGTATTCTTCGGGAGCAGTGGCAATCCCAAATGGCATTCTTAACCAACGGTACCTGCCAAACGGGGTCCAGAATGTCGTGAGGTAGCTACTTGTTTCATCCAGTTTGACTTGCCAGAAGCCATTCTTCGCGTCTGCAACACAGTCGAAGCTTGGATCCCTTCCGCACAATAACTTGACTGCTAATCCATTCAGTCGGCTCTGTGACTTTCTTGAGAACCTCCATTTTTTCTAATGTTTCAATATGTGCTTTTAGCTCGGCTTTCAATGGTATTGCAATTCGTCTGGGGGTATGCTTAACAGGTTGAGCATCAGGATCTATCTCTAGGTGGTACTCACCAGGCAAGCAGCCAAGTCCCCCAAACACATCTTTATATTCCATGAAAATATCTGATGGAGCTGTTATCGGAGAGGTATTTATGCTATTAGCTATATGCACAGTGATAAGTCCCATGCTTGTACATGTCTCTCCAGACAGCAATGGCTTCTGCTCGCCCTTGATAATCTTGAAGTTAAGCCTGCGACTTTCTCCATTGTAGATGCAATTGAGGTCACACTCTCCGAGGGCTGGTACACAACTCCCATTGTATAATTTTAATTTGGTGTTAGTTGGCTGCATGGTTGGGCTTCCACTCTGCTTGATTTCACATAAGGTATTGAAGGACATGACATTACAGGTGGCTCCTGTGTCAAGCTGGCATTGGATTTGACTTTCACCACCGTCCTTATCCCAAAAGGAAAGGGATATAAAATAACGCTTTCTTTCTACATGTCTTATTGCGTCAACAGTTTCGACATAAAAGGCATACTCGTCATCTGATTATTCTTCATTCATAAGGTTAACTCCTTGCTTCTGCATGCAAACTGATTGGAAATGATTTGCCTTTCCACACTTTCGGCACGACTTGCCAAAGGCTGGACACTTATGTTTGTCCCGTTCATGAGCTCCACCACAATACTTGCATTTGCCACCTTGTTTAAGTTGGTTCCCGCTCTCTTTTCTTTGTCGATCTACTGATTTTGAAACATTCTGTTTCTTTGCATCTTGTCTCTGAGCATAATTGACAGGCTCTTGATTGTCTTCTCTCTTTATTTTCTTCAATTGTTCACTTGTGGTCTCACTTATACAAAGGGACTCTATAGCTTTCTTGAGAGTGCAATCTTTCTCGCGGAAAAGCCTGGTCCTGGCCGCACTGTCCCGACAGCCAAGAACCAGACGGTCTCTCACCATCTCATCTTCTAGTGTTCCAAAGTTACATGGCTCAGCTAATTGCCTGAGGTTTATAAGAAACTGGTCAATAGTTTCATGTACTTGCTGTTCAGTGTTATGGAAAATATATCTCTCATACAGAATATTTCGTACTGGTACGAAATGGTCTTGCAGCTTTGCAAGAATAATAGCTGGATCTTTCATATCGGCTTCTGATAATTGAAGTCTTTTAAGTATTTTCTTGCACTCAGTTCCCATTAGACTTTTCAACGTGGCCACTTGAACTTTCTTGTCCTTCTGATCTAAGCCTGTTGCTATTAAATAATCTTCATATGCTTCATGAAAACTCTTCCAGTTGTTTGCGACATCGCCATTGCAATTCATTGGTTCTGGTGCTGGAATCTGGTACGTTGCCATGCTTTTTTCTTTTTTTTTTTTTTTTTCCGAATTCAGAAAATCCAATATGGCGGCCTACTGGGTCACGTAAATCTTCGAAATATTTGCACTTTTAACATTCGTGTTGCGATATTTTTTCAATAAAATATATCCACACGGCTTCAGTTAAAAGATCTCACTCCTGACACCATGTTTTGCTCTTTATTATCTCTTATATAACTAACGTACAATGTCTAAATCGAATGAACCTAGATGTTCGTAAATGTTGTTTATATATCGTATCTCCGCTGACGCACTACACCGTGGGCGCTACCGGTACAGGTAGCCCGTACATATCGTAACATTTAGCATTAGTTATTAGATATTAATATTTAGTAATTGGTATATCGTGGTATTTATTTGAACACTTAGACTTTAGTTTGCTTTTTTATATATTTATTATTTAGAACTTAGAAAGGGAGGTGTAGTATTATGTACTATACTTAATTATGCATGCATAACCCTCTTGTATATAAAGCTGTAGATCGTTAATGTAAGTATTAAAAAGTACATTTACATCACCTTTAATCTAAATATGTTGTATTTGAATGTTTAGCATGCAATTTATTACAAATTTCACCATTAAAACTTTGTCTTGAGAAGTTGAGATTTTTTAAAATGTGTTCTCAGAATCAGGAAATGCTATTTCAGAGACCCAAATTTTAAACATTTCCTGGGGGGCATGTCCGCATGACCCCATACCTAACTCATGCCTATACTATCCTGGGGGGAGGGCAAGGAAAATGGTCCCTTTGGCATGTTTGCCCAAACACTGAAGAGTCCTTAAAAAATGCACTGATGTATTGTTAGATATATTATTATCATATAACAATATCTACGTTACTCTTATTCTTATTGTGATTACGAATTAAAGTGAAGATAGTGTCTTTTAGTTTTTAAATTAAACAAAACTTGTTCATCAGTTCGAAATGGGATGGGTGGAAGGATATTTGTGCGTTTTGAATCTTAAAGAAACCAAGGACGTCTGCGTTGGGGAGGTGTAACACCTCAATAATTTGTAAGTGCAAAACGGTTGGTCAAAATGGAAAATATTTGATCAAAATAGTTGGTTACTTTTTAAACGCGAATTAGAAAAGATAAAAGTGCGAATGTACCGAAATCCAAATTATGCGTATTAAGCAAAATAGCACGAATCACCGTACGAAATTAAGAAATATAATGTTTGAAAAATTGTCATTCTCGGGTGCCCCCCCCCCCCCGAATCCGTTATTGTCCTTGGTTTTGTCGTATTTCGTTGTTGATATCAACGCCGTTTGATAATTGTAAAATAATCGAAAGCTGTTTACTGAAAATCTTCATCCCTAAATATTTCATTATTCAGTTCTGCCAAATGATGTAATCATATCTAACAAAGCATTATTGTATTTATTTCTGACAGCTGGTTATACATCTGCTCCAGGATCATTTATATTTTCTCTTGGCAATAATGACGACCTTCCGCCTTTCAAGGCACCGCTGAAAGATGACAATAGCGGGTATGCAATCTACCGTGATAATTGGTTTGGACCAATATTTGGTGGAGGTTATGACCTCTATATTGCCGACTATGCGTTATCAAATTCCTACACAAAATTTGGTCACACCTACCAACCTCTCTCTGGACAAACCGAAACAGAATCTCTGAATGTATGGTACTTTATTCCATCAGAAATTGAAGTATTATATTTAAATTGAAACTGTTCATACTTACTTAATAAAAGGTAAATAATATTGACAAACAAGTAACGATATAACGTAAATTATCTAATGAATGCATGTAGGCTACCCCCTGATAAACGCTGACCTCCACACCCCGACTCGAATGATTGAGCATTTTGTTTCAATATCTAATGAACTCCCCTTTCTCTAGATTACGTTAAATGACTATTAGAATACACACTTATTCCATGAAATTATATGTACTGGAGCACCGGTTTAAAAAATATAAAAGATATAAACCGAAAAATGAAAACATCTTGTAAACCTAGGGAAATATAAAGTATAACATATTATTATTCGGTCAATACGTAATCGTTAAATATTATTATTGTATCAGGATTGAAATGTAACGACTGAAAATTTATACGTATTGCTTTTATTCCATATATATATTGGGGTTTTCAAGATTTTTCTTTAATTGTCTGCTGGTTCTGGCTTCTGAACACACGTTTAACCTTTGACTTTTGTTTACGCCATTTGCAAAATGGCAGCAGGAATAAACTGCAGGGAAGCGTTGTTTAACAGGAGTAATTTCGCTGTATGTAATATGCCTTGTTATGCAATAAACGGCTCCTCCTACAGTATAAAAGACTGCATGCAGGAGTTTATTAGATCCTTTACAGTATATACTAACTATTTTTCCCCGAGGGTACTAATTCCGCAAGTCTAATTATGCCCGGGTATGTAAAAACATAGCGAAGTGCAAAGTTGTCCTCCATTTTGTTTATGTCAAGGACGGTTTTCGACATTATGCGCATGCGCCAGTACAAGCTCTGTCTAAGTAATTGTTTTTCATTTTGAAAGGACGTATTTTGCTGTTTTACAGCAATTTTTTTGTTTTAAATTTCGTTAAAAAGTTTACAAAAGTACAAAACTTTTTTCTTTGATTTTAACTGGAAATTAATAAGCCTGTAGTTTAATGAATCAGCCACCAGGCTGTTCAAACGTGAAGCAAAGTTTGTATTAAATAATTGTTTTGATGTTTTGATGTTGATATTTTTAATAATTTAATCGTTGTTGTGCCGGTTTGGGTAAGTGTAAACACTTCAGCAGTAAAATGTCATACCGTATTTGCTTTGTGTTTTCGATTTTATTCATATCTGCCGATCCGCGAAATTCTTAAGCCATTAACTCGATAATTCACCATAAATAATTTGTTTTAATGGAAGCTGGTATACATGAAATTGCAGCGAATGTTATCGTTTACAAAACTAGCGCATCTGTTGTGTTTTTATGTTTGTTTATAATGGTCTTAATGCTTTATGTGGAGTTTTTATACTGCATCTGTTAAGAAAGGCGAGGGGTTGATGCATGCATGTATTTTCTAGTAGTATAGTAAGCTTTCCACTACATCATACCCAGGCGCTTTATGATTGGGAACATGAAGATTATGGTGGAGGCGAGCCATATTTAGCGAAAACCCTACTCCAACTTAACGAAAAGCACGGCCCGTTTAACTGTTGTTTGAAAATGTATTTTTATTTCTCGCTAGAACAAAATGATTAAACCAATTTTCGCTTAAATGAAGCAGGCTACGGTTCTGCTATTTTCAAGACTCAGAACTTTCATCAAAATTTTTGTTCTATATTAATTTTGGAATATCTTACGTTAATGGTTGGTTTAAGTAATAGGCCTGTACACAGCATTGCCTTACTTTTTTTGAGATAGACAAACTCAACTAAGGCGCAGGTGGGTGGTTGTATGTCCGCTACAGCAAGGACGAGGTGCTGTACATAGTTTGTGAACGTAAGGATTTTGACAGTTGTGTATTAAGAAATTATTCGAAAATTTAAGAAACCGACGAAAAGTTCGATGCAATTCAGGAGAATTTTGAATTTGTGGTACAGCGCCTCATTAAATATTGAATGTCTTTTAAATCTTCTTAATGATCTATTGATGATTTTACAAGACATAACAATTGATCTATTACAGTGACTTACTGTATACCCCCAAAATTTCGGCCACTGTGCATTGTGTTTAAGCCATGATAAATATTCTCGTGCAGGATATACTACGTACACAGCTAATTACTAGACAGGCACCAGCCCCGGTTATCCTGACATGACAGTATAAGCGCACAAATCCCTACATACTATTCCAATCTATAAAGCCATTGAAGCCCAATGAATGAGTGTAGTATGTATAATCCCTGTAGTAAAAAGAGGCAAAATGCTTATTTCTCGGTCCAATTCCGCCTCTGAAATTTAAAACAAACATCGTATAATATTTCACTTTTGCGATATCTTTGCATGATACATGTTAATAACTATACTGACCGAGAGTGAGGGCAGTACGGGAAAATCTAGTATCCAACTGAAGACTTGCTGTATTGACCAAGCGATAGCGAGTTCAATACAGCAAGACCGAGGTTGGATATTTTCCGTACTGCTCGAACGGTTGAGGTCAGTAATTTTTTTGTTAGCTATATGGCAATGTACGTTTGTAGAAAATGGGAAAAAAGGTCACGCGAGGGTAAAGTACAAAATCCGACACATTTAAAAAAAACAATGGTAAAACATTTTCTCTTGGTTAATAGTGAAACTACTCTACAGCACTTTTTATAGAAAACTATAACACAGTTTGGATAGTATTTCAAGAAAAATACGAGGTATTTCGCCATTTGATCAAAGACAACAAAATAATTAATATGGAAACAATAAAATTAATAAAAAGCATCGACAAGTACGTTTTTATAGTTCGCTTCATCTCATATATTTATGTCTCTTTTTATCTAATAAAAACAGAAATTTTCAAGGAGAAATTATAAATCTGTGGCTGCTTTAGTTGTATTATTTATTTAGATGGTGTCAAATTAAATTCCTTCTGGCTTCTGCAAATATGGATCTCTTTACATGTTCAAAACAGAACTATTCTTGACTGCTTTAATGGTTATAAACATTGTAAAATTTGTATAAGTAATCAGGCGATGGCGAGTACAATTAGAGATTACTAGTACGAGTGATGTTTGGAAATTTTGCCAAAATTGAAATAATTAATGAATTACTTATACTCCTCTCAACCAATCAGCATCCAGTAATTTTGTCATGCTAATAATAAATCCTGTAATTACGACTTTCGCTAACAAAAACATATAGAGAAAGTTCTTTAACAGCCAGCTCCTTGTCTCTATTTCATAGGTTTACTTTCTTCGTTTTGAATAGTTTGAAAGAATCTTAGACACTTTTTGCTGTTTGAAACTGGGTTCTCGTCGCAGGCTCGCAGCTTCGCAGCGCATTAAAGTTGATTTACGTATTGCCCGTGGGCAATACAGCAAAATCCTCCCTCGTCAGCAACCAATCAAATTGCGCGATTCATCAAAACAAATGCTTGCCATATATATAATTAAAAAAATTGTTATTAACTTATCATGTAACTTCAATTTCTTTCATTTGTCTTATTTGCACTTTTTTATTTTCCATATTCATTTAATATTTTATAGATAATTTGAATACCATGCATATATTGCTAAAAAACTAGCCATTTGTAGGTTGCATGGCTCGCATACATAAATGTAAGTAGCTAATTTCTTTTTTCCATCTTTGCCGTTGTTGGTTGCCAAACTGTCTATTGGAATATATATGAGTCTACGTTTGCACTGTACCGGATAGCCTTCCGTAGCGATGTAAAGAAACACCTACACTGTAAATTTCAAGACTTGAATCAACTCCAAAAGTGTCATCTGTCACCAAAAACGGTGACATGAGAATGACACTTTCGGAGTTGATTCATCTCTTTGAAATTTACAGTGTATCCTTATCTTTTAGGAATGCTATTTTCAGAGGAATTATTGCAACGGAGAGAAGTTGTTTCGTTCAGCTTCTGAAAGTTTTATATTCTGTGTCGGATACGGCTAGCTGCTTTTTCACGGCGCTATGGAAATCTGTATCCGGTATAGCGTAAATGTAGGCTTATACTATATTTGAAACCAGACACTGTTTGAATAAGTAAAATAAGCTTTATTAACATAGATTTTAGAATGATTTGCTGTAGATTGTACTCCATTACCAGAAATTGGCGACAAAATGGCCACTGCTTGTATACTAATGTGTGCAACGATTCATTATTTGGCCGCTCGGACAGATATACCCGATCTAAATAACTCTGCCACCGAAACATTAGCAAATGAATGCCTTATTCTTCACGAGGTCGGAAACAGTAGCCGAGTTCTCAAATTGCCATAATTTGGAGCTAAATATTTTCGCCCTATATATTTCCTATTAAAAATTGAAAGCCATTGTAAATGGATTGTATGCAAATTAGTATACAAAAGGAGGCCATTCTGTCGTTAATTTCTGATAATGCCATCATCACAAAACTCGTACTACTGACTGCTTCTATTCTTTCCCATTGCCAGTTATTTGAAAATAATTTTGCTCATATAATATTTATAACTGGAAAAATAAAAGAACATGCAGACTGCGGAGTAGAATGGACTTGATTGGTGCTGGTATGTCCAGAATCGTTTGTTTGATTGTTCTTTGAATCAAAGTTGTATAGTGTGCAATTAGATAAAAAGAACATCAGCGTAAAAAAATTATTTAGTTTTACTTTTAGGGTAAACGAACACTGCTTCTACCATTTACATGCATGATATATCTGAATTTGTGTCTTACACTCGCACAAATAGACAATTACACCGTAGTATTTAAACATTGTATATAATAATGTAAATGTTAAATAAATTGGCTAAAAGTAAATGCGTCAATTTCTTCAAATGGTTTATAATTATTTTTAAAATCTCCAGCGACCTATATGAAGAGGTTTTGTGATTAGCTAGAAATACATGTGTGCATGCAGAAACACCTCGCTTTCCAGCAAAACGACAACATTTCCCAAACATGAAGTATTTGAACTGGTTGTCACGAGAACACGATTATTTAAACATTTATTAGTGTTTTAACATTCTATATAATATTATATAATAACCTTAAGAATTCATGCGATATCATTGGTCGAGAGCCATGATATATTTGAGGACAGACGCACGGAATTACGTCATTAGTTTTTAAAATGTCGAAAATATTTGAAAATTCCACTGAATTTATACAAATTGAATGAATTAATGCAATTAAATCTATCAACATCAATAAATACCTTCGATAAATGTGCAAAAATCACTCTCAAAAGCTAGCAACTCGGAAAATCTCAATTCAGGCATTCAGCTGCGACTTCAAATTCAATCCGGTCTTCGAAAACAAATACTGTTTGAGTCATTTGACACTGTTGATGTCACGTTTTCCAGCTGGTGTCTTTACTTTGTGCAACATAGGCAATGTTTAAGTGCTTTTCAATCACCATAGTCGCTCAGAACAAAGTAATTGCCTTTTTATCACACCTTTTTATTTCTTTAAAACAATGTTTTTTCACTGTTTTGTAAAAATTATTAGTTTTTCCTTATTCATTACCGTCTAGCGTATTCTAAGCTTAGCCAATCAGAATTCAGCACGTGACTTAAGCGAGCCAATGGCATTTCGTTATTTGTATAGATCATGAACGCGTGGTATTTGCAAAATTTCGACTTCCAAATGTTTGGGGGAATAAAAATAAACTGTTTTTTCAATTTTATTATATAAAACAAATTGATTACATTTTCCCGTTATCTGTTCAGTTATAGATACACAGTATGACGTCATATGTGTTAAAAACAAAAAGTGACCACTCCGTCCACTCGCCTAGGAGGCACGTGGACACTTTTTAATTTTGTTCTTATCACATATGACCGTCATACTGTGTATCTATAACGGTTAAATGTAACCTATTTGTTAAATGTAAATGTTAAATAAATAGATTAAAAGTAAATGCGTCAATTTCTTCAAATGGTTTATAATATTTTTAAAATCTCCACCAACCTACATGAATATGTTTTGTGATTAGTTGATTACTACAAATACATGCATGCATGCAGAAACCCTTTGCTTTGTCAGCAAAACCACTATACTTCCCAAACATGAAGTATTTGAAGTGGTTATCATGGTAACACCATAACTTTATATTTTTTATTTATTTTCAAAATTGAAAAACACGTCTGAAATACACCCTTTGGCCTGGGAGCCTCGCTCTCATGAATCCGTGAGCCAATAACCTTGCGTAATTTACTTACGAGAACGAGGCTCCTAGACCAAATTTGCGACGTAATCAACGAAAGGGCGTATTATCACTTTTAATTTTCAAAATAATCAATTTTCCAAATATATACGACAGCTATGTTATTATGCATAATACAAACTTCAATTTAGTGTAAAATGAGCCACATACGCTTCACAACTGCCTTTTAACGATATAAAACTTTGAGTTTCAAATAACAACGAGGGTCTCCTAAGAGTTTTGGGGGAACAAGGGAACTAGTCGTTTGAAATCGGAGTTGGCGCAGCAAGCGATAAAGACTTACATGTTTTTTTTGAACTAACGAGCAGAGCCGTTGCAAGAACTTTGTCCGAGTAAGCTTAGATTTATCTGAATTTTTCCATCTATGGTTGGTGCCGAACAAAAGTTTTTGAAAATTTGAAGTCTCTATACTGTCGGATATGGCATTTTTAGACTCTTTCCTACCGAATATTTCAATATTTTAGCATTGCTTAACAATGAAGATAAGCATTGTTACTTACAGTTAAAGTTCAATGTGAGTATTTGATTAGGAAAATTGAGAAAATTTTGGAGTCTTCAGATCATAAGAAAGTGTATTTGGCCATGTCCCCCCTACTACGACGAGGGTAGGTTTTTTCTAGTAAGCAATTTTAAGAAATATATTTTACTAAAATCTCTGTTACATTGCCTACAGTTTAATAGAGACAATGACATCGTGAAATGAGAGAACTCAATAAGGATTTTAAATTAAAGAACAGCTCATTCAGGGTGGCAATTACGGTTTTAAAAACTAGGTACGCATTGCGTACATGTGGTTAGCCTATAGGATTGGCAATTGTTATAGCGTCATATAGCTGATTTCGTTCAATATAATGAACGAAATATCTTGGTTGATTTTTCAACCATTGAACCATAAAATTTTTATTCTTCATTCTTTGTCGTATGAAACCAAATACCGTATAACATAGCCATAATACAGCAACCTTTTTAAAAACAAACCAGAAAATATTAAATTAGCTCTACTATTTCGTTGTAAACGGCTAAAATAAAATTTTAAAACTCTTTCTCGCTCAGTCCCAAGCATCGTAGGTCGCTAAAAGCTGCCAAGATTTAAGGTCCAGACACACCGGGCGCGATTCGACAACGCGACGCGATTTTTTAGTTTTTGAAAGTTAATACAACAGCCAATGAGAACAAATCTTAAAAGACATGTAGACCAAATAACGCAAAATGTTAAACGCTTCTAAATACTTGGAAAATTTAAACTTAACTAGGATTAAAGTCATCGGTCAGTGAAAGTCGAAAAATCGCGTCGCGTTGTCAAATCGTATCCCGTGTATCTGGACCTTTAGATGTTCATATCTTGAGTTTAGTGCATGCTATGAAAAAATCAAATAGTTCCTTACAATAGCTTTAGTCATTATCAACAATTGTAGCTATTTATTGCCTCTGAAAGACAAGCGAGATCGTACCTTTCGTTGAACGTATAACTTCGGCCACGCTACAGGGGTAATGAATGTGACTCGAATCGGTTTCCGACCAACAGTTTCCGACGTTTCCCAAGTGCTAGGACAGCATTGTTTCGACAATCAGTTTGTATTTCCGGTCGAAGCTCTCACTAAAAATTTAGATATTCTGAAATACCGAAATACCGATATTCTGAAATACCGAAATCTGTAGATACAAGCTTGAAAATAACACTCAGAATAGTGTTTAGAATTCTGATTCGAACAAACTGTTGCGAAAATGAAATATTGAAAGGGACCAAAGTTCTGTTCGGCGAAAGGTTATGCACTGATGCCTTAGTTGGTAATACATTGAGATTGTTTACATTGTTCGGGAAAATTGTGTGAAATATGGTATCGCTTAAACTTCTAAAGATCGTAAATCGCTATAATGTTCATGTTGACATTTTACTAAAACCATCATTAGTAAAGTATTGACAAAATTCGTCCGCAAATTTTTTATGATCCGATATGATGTTATTTTTTATGTTGAAAGAAGTCGTGTAGGTTGACTTCTTCTTAAGACTGTTTATGACCTCATTAATCAATTTCCATGTAGTTTTCAAGTCAGACTTAACTTGCTCGAATTTAGTATCATAATAAGTTCTCTTAGCTATTGTAGTTAGATGATTCAATTTATTTTTGTATTCTTTGTACTTCCTCTGTCGGTAAGTTGTAGAATTAGTCATATACTTTTTGCAAACTTACTTTTCTTCCTTACAGAAACTAACAATCCTTTGGAAATCCAAGGAGTTTTGGGTTTATTATATGAATTTGGCTTATAATTTTTAAGAGGAAAACATTCTTCGAGATACCTATTGTACTCGCTTACTAAATGGTTATATAGTTCATTTGGATCTTCACCAATTAAGACGCTTGACCAATTTACTTGTGAAAGAGCTGTTTGGAATTTTAACAAATTCCGTTGCGCATAATCTCTCTTAAGCCGAATTTTTCTTTGCCTTTTCTAATTAGTTCCACCCGAGAAGTCACAAGACAAAGAAAAATTCCGCTCCGCGCGCAAAATTTCGCCTAGTGGAAAACAGGCTTAAAGCCGGTTTTCCACTAGGCGGAATTTTGCGCGCGGAGAGGAATTTTTCTTTGTCTTGCGATTTCTCGGGTGGAACTAATTAGAAAAGACAAACAAAAAGATTCCGCTCCGCGCGCAAAATTCCGCCAAGTGGAAAACCGGCTTTATAAATTACTTCTTTTTCTCGACGTGCGGGCTAGTCCTTTTTGAAATACGCAAACACAGGGAAATGATCTGAAATGTCATTAAGGATTAATCCATTCAAAGTGTTTTGTTGAAAACAATTTGTGAATATATTATCAATAAGGGTAGCAGAATGAGATGTTACACGGGTCGGTTTAGTAGTGAGAGGAATAAGTTTGTGTGAAAACAAGGAATCAAGAAATTCTTGTATGAAGTGGTGACTATCATAATGAGTAAATCTAAATCAAAATCTCCCATAATATGACAATGTTTTTATTCTTTAGTGATAATCGATAGTATTTTGTTGATTTCCTTTAGAAAAGATGCGATAGTTTGGTTTGACGGTCGATAAATCGTACCTACTAAGGAGTTTTTACGTTTAGGATTAATAATTTCAACAAACAAAGACTCAATTACCTCAGGATTGGAGACTGTGCAGTTACCAATTTGTTTATACTGAAAATGGTCCTGTAAATACCGACTAACCCCCCCCCCCCCCACCACCACCACCAGCTTTATTTATTCTATGATTGGAAATAAAATCACAGCCCGGGAGATCAGCCTGATTAAATGTTTCATCATTCAGCCAAGTTTCAGATAAACTGCACTGACCTTGGGCTTGTTCATGCACTGACCTTGGGCTTGTTCATATGTACTCAACTAACTGGGAAACTCGCCTTCATTTGTGTTCATATGAGAAACTATAATGAGATCTCAGCTTACCGTAGGTGGGATCTCAGTCAAGTGGGATAAATTTTTCCATATGAAGGCATTATCCCATAAACCAGAATGGATGATTTTTTGTCAATTTTGGCCTAGAATATACAGTAGTCTAGTTATCAACGGCACAGTTGGAAAATGCAAAAAATAACGAATAACCATTAACAGACGTAAATAGACACTATTGAAGCTGTCGTAAAAAAGATGTGTAGATTGTTAATTAATTGAAACAAATATATTTTGAAGACACCATGCCCATGGCTAATTTCGTCCAATCGAGGCGGGATATTAGGTAGGGTAAAAACATAATTTGAACACGTGCAGAAATCATTTATCCCATGCACCCTATCTCTTACAAAAATTTCACATAACATTTCATAATGAAAATTTCATGTATGAAATCGTTATATGGAATTGAAACAAATTTCATATATGAAAATTTCATATATGAAATGTTATGTGAAAATTTCATATATGAAATATTTCATATATGAAATATTTCATAATATGAAATTGTTTCAATTCCACATAAAGATTTCATATATCAAATATTTCATATATTAAATTTTCATATATGAAATTGTTTCAATTCCACAAAAAGATTTCATGTATCAAATATTTCATATATGAAATTGCACATTAAGATTTCATGTATGAAATTTTCACATGTTTCAAATGTTCAAATATTAAATTTTATGCATTGAAATTAAGCGAGTCAGGGGAAGTTTATGTGATCCCACTTACCCGAGATTAAATGAAGCGAGCAATGGCTTTGAGGAATTGAAATAAGTCTTTATGAAACCAGACAAGCACATGTTAACAACAGACTAAATATAGATCAATGCAAAAAATATATTCGCAAGAATTACTGGTCAACAATTACATTTTGCTCATTTGATTTTCCACAGAACAAAATCCAACGCCACCTGGATCATGTTACTTTTCCGAATGATTAACAAATTACTTATTTCAATACCTCAAAATCATTGCACGCTTGGTTTAATCTTGTGTAAGCGGGATCATATGAACTTCCCCTCAGAAAAAGCCACCTAAATAAGAAAGTTACATACTATGCAAGTTTGATATATCACATCGGACACTAGTTTATTCGAAATATACAAATTACAAAATGATAGAAACTTAATTACAATATATATATATATATATTTATTTACTCTCGGTTACAAAAAATATCCCAAATTTTGCGTGATTTCGAGGAAATTATCCATTTGGGACAATTTTTTATACACCCTGTATATGCATTACTCAGCTAAAAGCATGCAGAAATAAAAAAAAAAACAGGGGTGGGTTTCCAGCAACACCATGCAGGGACAAGACCAAAGATTAAAATTAAGAAAATTCAAATGCATATAATATCATTACTAAAATATTAAAAACAAATACTGTATGTTTGTGTTCCGGCTTAACAGTTCTCCTGCTTCTCCAGTTCACATTGAATCTTTTTCTTGCATTCTTAGTTAATTTCGAAAAATTCTTGGGCCTTTTCCGCCTCAGTTAAGGCATTTAATTTTGCTGTCAGCATGGACTAATAAAAGAAATGATATGGTTTATAATACAGTAAAATTAATATACATTGTGAGATCTGAATTTTCTTCTTGTCAGTGACTGCAGTCAAGCCTGTACTGTTTCAGTCAGTCACTGCCCACATAGTCATACGAGTAAATCGTTAGACAGGGTAAAATAATACTTAAAGCAGGGCGCATTGGCACAATGCAACTGAATCGACTAACTAGATTACTAGACACATAGGCAGATAGGCCAGTTAAGTTACTGTATCTATTAAATGCCAGAGCTCTCCCCTTGACGAGTAAATTGTCTGGCGGTAGACAGAGTAAAATAATAAAGCAGGGCGCATTGGTGCAATGCAACTCATTGGAATAACAAGACAAATGGACAGATAGCCCAGTTAACCCATTAAGCACCAGAGCTCTCCCCTTGATGAGTAAATCGTCTGGCGTTAGACAGAGTAAAATAAAACAGCAGGGCGCATCAGGGCGCAATGGGTTAACTTATATCACAAAGAAAAACATCAGTAAACTTACATGCTTGCCTGTCTTGTTTTGGTGGGTCTGCCGGTCTCCCAGTGCATGTGGAAGGGAAACCATCATACATCTGAGGGTTAACTATAAAAGGGTACAAATGGTGCATATATTAAATAAGTATGTTGAATACCAATATACAGCCATACCAACACTCTCTCCTTATATCAAGTAAAGTCGTTCGGCATTTCAAGACAAAGAAACATAACAAATAACTAGGGATGCAATGAATATCATATCTGGCAAGATATAGAGATTTTACTTCATTTTTTGGTACCTGGCCGCCCAATATTTACATAAGGTTCAGGCCTTCAAGATTTACAGTTACTGCAGGTTAGATGATTTGATTAGGTTAAAAAAGCAAGGGTGGTTATCATATTTTTATTCAATGATTGATAACGGGCCGGAATGCTTGTAAACAGTATTTTCAAGATTTTATATGCTTGTTTGTAAATGCAGATTTGACCTTTGAACTAATGTAATTGATGCTTTTGCTACCAATGATGCATGTTTACTAGTGTTAGACTGTGAAGTTCCTTCCTATTATTTCAAATCAAAGTTTTATAAACACCATCACTTTTTAACCAATTAAAATGATTACTTAAATTAACCTAAAAACCTGAGGCCTGAACCTTAAAGTAGGTAGTGTTAGGGAAAATTGTATCTAAATATATCAACATGAAACATGGGCAGAGTCTAGCTATAGACTCTTCTCTTGACAAATAAAATGGTACGGCGTTAGGCAAGATAACATTTAACAATTAAAGTACTGAAAATTGGACTCATTGGAGTGAATCAGTGAAATGGCTAATAATTTCAAAAACCATCAAACTCTTGCCGGGGTGTATATCTCAAATATATAAAATGTAGCCCTAAAGGTTGTTACATATATTATTAAACAGATCATCATGATCTGTTTAATAATATATGTAACAACGTTTGGGCTACATTTGACCTGATCATGCAGGTGGCATAAATAATTGTTATTTGCTGTGTTGGTGTAATGTACTCAGGTGAATAAGATGCTTGTGTGATGTTAGTCTGATTGTATTTCCACACCGGGAAAGCTTGAAAATATGCCTGGCCACGGTGGGATTCGAAACTACGACCTTTGGAGTACTAGTCCTATGCTCTGCCAACTGAGCTACGCGGTCAGGTCGGTTCGAATATGCTATATTTCGGAAATGATATATATATATATACTGAAGACTATATTCAAAAAAATAGTCGATGAGTTGACGTAAGGTAGAAGAGCGCTCAATACCATAATAAGTAGAGCGGAATTAATTCAGTCAAGGTTTGAATGTTTGCGTCGCTACTCTGAGTTTCACGCTTTACGCGATCATCAGGCAATGCCTGATGATCGCGTAAAGCGTGAAACTCAGAGTAGCGACGCAAACATTCAAACCTTGACTGAATTATATATATATATATATATATATATATATCGTTGTCCGTTGTACAAAAAGAGTGCTCAATAACAAATTTAATTGATAGAGCAAAATATACTAATTATAATCTTAAAATTTTATTAATCGCTACACAGTGTTTCACGCTTTCAAAGCGATCTTCCGGCGATACAAGAACGCCATTCAACCTAATACGCATGATCTCTGCATGTCACAGATTTAATCATGCGTATTAGGTCCAATGGCGTTCTTGTCGTATATATAATTTATGTGTCCCACATCCATCATCTCATTGTTGGTTGTATAAATACTTTTCGGTTGAAAAACTCACTATCAGCTACACTGCGCTAACGAGCCCCAAAAGGGCGAAACAGCTGTCCGCAGTTGCTGCTAGTGAGCTTGGAGCACAATTGGCCTATAGGCCTTTGCGCTGATTTAAATCTATGACATGCAGAGATCATGCGTATTAGGTTGAATGGCGTTCTTGTCGTATATATAATTTATGTGTCCCATGCACATCCATCATCTCATTGTTGGTTGTATAAATACTTTTCGGATGAAAAGCTCACTATCAGCTACACTGCGCTGACGAGCCCCAAAAGGGCGAAACAGCTGTCCGCAGTTGCTGGTAGTGAGCTTGGGGCACAATTGGCCTAAAGGCCTTTGCGCTGATTTAAATCTGTAATATGCAGAGAACATGCGTATTAGGTTGAATGGCGTTCTTTTGTATATATATATATATATATATATATATATATATATATATATATATATATATATATATATATATATATATATATATATAAATGTATTCATATAAAGTTTGAAAGTTGCCACACAACACATCAAATTGACAATTTTTATCTTTACTGACCCACGTATATATGTATAAATATTAATAGAAACTTATGAAAGTACCACTTAATTGCAAACAAGTCTATAAATTGTCCCAAACCATGTTTACCTCGGACATGCCTAGGTAGGCGTATGAGAATTGAGTAGATGCCAAGCTATATTATTTTATACAAGCCAGGGTGCATTCCATGTAAACGCCACGCCGAAGGTTTTAAAATACAATTTTTTTTACGCCAAGAAATTTGAAGTCTCACGCCAGCTGATAATAAACTGAATCATAGATTATAGATTATACCAGATGACTCACTCAGCAAAAATTGTGTCCGCGATTTTTTATGAGCACGCGTTGGCCGCCATTTTGGCAGTAAGTGTAATCCACGCCAGCAAACGTGAGCAATGACGCCATCTTTTAAGTCACTGGCCGAGAAATTTACTAGATGTAAATGAAAGAACTAATATTTTGTGTTTTTTTTGTTGTTTTCGCGTTAAAAAACTTGAGTAAAAAATGCCTAAAACGCACGAAACGTTTTCAAAATAAAATATATCTGTTTAAATTTGCTTTCTTAACCTTGCTGAACAGCTAACTTGTTTTATTACTAGTACTCATAATTATGTGTAAAAATTTCCCGAAAAGATAGGCCATAGGACCACGAGTTGTGTGTTTCGTGCATTGAACTATTGAAGGCCAAAAACCAACAATCCTTTCGTCTTTCTATGACCTAGGTTGGTATATAATATATATATAATCTATTTAAAGAGTTCTTTTCGAGTTTAATAACACGTTTATGTTGCCTGGAGAACGATAGACAGCCAAAAACGTGGTATAAACCATCCCAAATTCGGTTTTTACAATTTCACTTTAACTATTTGATGCTTATAAATTTTACCTATTTAAGTTAAAGCACAGAGGAGGAATGAGGATCTTACCGAAATGCAACGTGTGAATCAGTGCGGCTCATTATTATTCAAGCTATTTACTCTCAACACGCCGTTCGATTAAAACTGTTGAAATATATTGCGATTTTTTCTGTGAAGATCTCGTTTTCTCAAAGGTATGTTTTGATAACCTTTTTGGTTAGTAATTTAATAAAAGAAGTTTTGAATAATTTTGTATATATATCGCATTTTACTTATGTTAAATTCCCATTGTATTTATGCATGTTTTGGGTGTTGAAAAAGTGGCAATGAAATATTCTGGAGTAAATTGTACTTTTTTACAAGGAAACTAAAATAAAATTACATCAGGAAATTCAGGAATGTCTACTCTTTATATTGATACTTTAAAACATGAATTTACTACATAAAACCGAAGAGTTATCGCGGTTTGAAAATGAGCTATTTTTGCTATATTCGATAATTAGCAAAATAGCTCATTTTCAAACCGCGATAACTCTTCGGTTTTATGGAGTAAATTCATGTTTTGAAGTATCAATATAAAGAGTAAACATTCCTGAATTCACTGATGTAATTTTATTTTAGTTTCCTTGTAAAAAAGTACAATTTACTCCAGAATATTTCATTGCCACTTTTTCAACACCCAAAACATGCATAAATACAATGGGAATTTAACATAAGTAAAATGCGATATATATACAAAATTATTCAAAACTTCTTTTATTAAATTACTAAACAAAAAAGTTATCAAAACATACCGTTGAGAAAACGAGATCTTCACAGAAAAAATCGCAATATATTTCAACAGTTTTTAATCAAACGGCGTGTTGAGAATAAATAGCTTGAATAATAATGAGCCGCACTGATTCGCACCTTGCATTTCGGGAAGACCCTCATTCCTCCTGTGGTTAAAGCATTAAGGCAACAAGATCTACCAACCTCCAACTCTCAAAGCTTGTGAATTTTCCGATTTTATCAAAGTTTTGCCCAGCAAAAGTCAAAACGACTTCGAAGCCGCGTCTATCAAAAATTTTCCACCAACAAGCAAGTTAAGACCAGTTAAGGTTACTCCATATGATGAAAACATTGATTTTGTCCTTTTTTACATTTTTATCGATTTATATCGAGGGGCTAGAGATCTTTCCATTTCCGCAAATATTTTTTGAAAATATTAAAATGCAACCGAGATATAACCGAAAATGTTATAGTCTAATATATTTCCCCCGGGAAAGTTTTGATTGTGATTGACAGTTTGTGGATAAGTTTGACCATATGGTTTGACCACAGGGTGCATGTTACGCATCTGTGGCGGTATTCAACATTGGGCGACTTGTTTGTTTTAGATATAGCTATATCACTGTAATATTGTAGGTACACGCACACAACACAGTGTAATTTGCTTTCTAAGTAAAACACCGATTTAAAAAGTGATCAATCTTATATTTAACAAATATAAAACATTTTCCGTGTTGATATACAGTTATATCAACACGAGTGGAAATTGGGAAAACGAGAAATTGTGTGGAAACACAAATTTTGGCACTCGGAAAAGTTGTATTTG